GTCGACTCATTTTAACGACAGGACAGGTGAGGGACTCCTCTCACCCAAAGAAATGCCGGACCGGGAAGCCTGGTGTCAGGCTCGAGCACACTGGAACTTGTGGTCATGAACGAAGCTTCACTGGTCTGAAAAAAGCCGATTTATACTGCACCACGCAGAAGGTAAGACTCGTGTCTGGAGGTAAAAAGGAACATCTTATCATCAACGCAACATCCAGGAAACAGTGGCATGTGGTGGCGGCTCAGCCACTGACAGCGAGCCTGACCACCCGATCCCGTCAGTCGCCTCTTACGGCAAGCATGGTTTGGTGAAGACCTATTCTACCCCGGATCTTCACGGGTCTAGTGCCTGGGACCCTTAAGTAATCCTATTGTACTGACTTACACTGTTGATCATTTAACTGTGACATGAGTACAACGTTACTAAGACTAAGTACCTGTTGATCTGTCCATCTCATTCCTGACATTCATAATGCCTCTATTTATCCTTGTAGCAGCTGGCAAACCAAATTCCTTTTATTCTTTGCAAATGCTCATTTTACCTATTATTCATACAATTAACATCTTATTTGACATAAGTAACACTTTTGATTTTTCTTTTGTTTCGATTTCCTGTTTTTCCGTACCCGTCTCTTTTCTGATAATCAAAAAGTTTGGTGGTGCGACACTTTTGATGAGATGTATATTAACAACAGGTCTTTTTCACTGTCAACATCTCAAATTAGTTTTGAGGTAAACCCTATCCTCAGTGCCAATGCAACAGTGCATGCGCAAGGCGGGAATTATGAGTAAGTATATGCTCCCAAACGTTGTGTCCCCATTATTAAGAAGTTGACATCCATAAATTCTCTTATGTGTATCACTTCTAAATACCTTTCAAAGACTAATACAATAGGGCCCAGACTCTCTTTATTTCCGGAAACTGCAGTAATCTATACTTGCCCACAATTGTAGACTTGCGTTGGCTGTATTAGACTACCAATATGGCTGCTGGCATTTGATTTCTGATCCAGATACGTTGACATTATACTTCACGAGCTTTTGAGATGAATTATTATACATCACAATGTTGTAGGCTTATAACCGTGGTATAGATAAACTTCAATCTCATTAAAATCAGATCTTAGTTCTCGCTATTGCTAAACAAAGATCTGAGGACATTCCATTACGGGTCACGTCAGAATGACCTTTCATCCAACCAATCAAAGCGTCGCTTACCAGATAATGAAGTGACAGTCGGAATGTGTTTTCTCATCATGAAACCTCGAAAACGTTAACACGGGGTATTCCGAACGACAGTTACTGCCCGTACGACTGATTCCGTCAAAAATATCGTTTATCTCTCGCTTCCGTGGGTCAAACATTTGAACGGAGGAGGCGTTGCACAGTACATGGGAAGTACTGTCATACAATTTCAACCATATATTAGACATTCCGGAATGTTCGTTTGTTCAGTTTTCAAAGTTTTAATCGAGAATTGTGCCAACATATTTTTCAAGCGTATTCTGAAATGGAAGTCGCCAGGTTGAAACGAGTACCGTAAAGCTCGAGAAAGCTGCTTTCTAATTGGCTGACGTTTGTCATTTCAGTGGTTGGTCAAAGTTCGCGAAAGGTCGTTCTGACGTGACCCGTAATGGGATGTCCTCAGATCTTTGTTTAGCGGCAGCGAGAACTTAGATCTAATTTTAATGAGATTGAGATAAACTTACAACTATCAAACTTGCAGCGTACATCAGCTCCACCATATGTTGCCCTTTTCAAGTCAAGGTTCAGAAACTCGTCTCCCTGTGTTAACAGTTCATTAACTGCTAAAGACCGATACATAATTTGAGTCAGCAGTTTAAAACATGGTTTTTTCAATAACTTGTTAGGACTGCCAGTCTCACACAGACTAGCCCTGTATTTTCATTTATCATCCACCCGCTACTAGATGGGCAGATCACGAAAGTATGAATCCATGTACAAGCACCACCAAAATGATGAATGACAGACTGTAGGTAAGGAGACGTTCTGAACCGTTGATCCCTGGTCCCCGCCCTCCTTTACTTGGCCTTAAGAGCAAGTAAAGTGAAAACAATAATACTGCAATTTTGTTGCAAATATATATTTTCCTACATACATTTAGTCAATTTCCGAGAAAAAAAAACTTATTACGAATCGTAGAACGTATTTAAATGTCCAAATGAAAGTGCTGAAATCCCACGCTTCGTCATCACCTTCCAAAACAAACCTATTTTGGGGCATGGCCGAAAGTTACCGGCGCAGGGGTGACAACTGTTTTCATTGGCTGATATGTTTCACTATCTTGTGATTCCCAGCAGTGTCACTTATTTCACCTGAAGTATATACTCCAAAACGTTGCGTTCCTCACAATAAAGAAGTTGACATCCATAAATTCTCCTTATGTGTATCACTACTAAATGCCTTTCAAAGACTTGTCATTACTGTTTCTTTTCATCCTACAAAAATAACAACATTGCTTTCATTGTTGAATGTGTGAAATGACCTTTCACCTTGACATTGTGAATAATTAAAAAAAAGAATTAACAATCGGTAACTCGCATTGTATTACTAACATCCTGGTTGGGTAAAAAACAACCCAGCTGCCCTCGGCCCAATTCCACACAATAAATGCCTGTCAGGAATCAATCCCCTGAGTATACAACTGAAGGCATCTTCAGTGTTGTTACTAAGGTGACATAAGTTGTGGACACGGTAATCAAAAGGATGAGCAGACTGAAAAAAGATTAATGTATTACAAAATCCGAGGCAGAAGCAGGCACACTTAGCATCGGCCGATCGTCACGATTGTTGAAATTGATCAGCGTTTTAAGGCCAGTAATGGGAATCCCCAATCTCATTAAAATCAGATCTCAGTTCTCGCTATCGCTAAACAAAGATCTGAGGACATCCCATTACGGGTCACGTCAGAACGACCTTTTTACCCACCAATCACAGCGTCGCTTACCAGATCATGAAAGTGACAGTCGGAATGTGTTTTATAATTATGCAACCTCGAAAACGTTAACACGGGGTATTCCGAACGACAGTTATGGCCCGCACGACTGATTCTGTCAAATTATCGTCTATCTCTCGCTTCCGTCATCTTCCCGTGGCAAGGGAGTTAACCGACTATAAAAGTCCAATTTCCACCCTTGCCAAACTTGGCAGGAATTATGGAGTCAGATTTTGGCTGGACTAACGCGTATATGCATAGTCCAATCAAAATCGCGCACCGAAATCGAAATCCGGTTAGTAAACTGTCGTGCAGATTTCGGTCGATTTCAGGATTTGCATAACATGTGCATCGCCAACTCGTTGTCAACAGATATTTTCCAAGTCTTTTCATGATTCTAATCAAGGTGCTCACTTGATTTGATGCACTTCGCGATGTAAGACCCGTTTTATCACAATATAGATGTTGATTATCGATTAGATCGTCTTGACTGGGCGCCGCCGTTTTGTTTGAAACAAATGCAAGTGATGGGAGAGGTTTAAAAGGGACATAACTCGTAATAACCATTGATGTCCCTACGATCGAGCCCAGGACTTCAAGCTTAGTTTGGCAAGGGTGGAAACTGGACTTTTAAAGTCAGTTAACTCCTTGCCTCGGGAAGATGGCTTCCGTGGGATAAACATTTGAACGGAGGAAGCGTTGCAAAGTACGTGGGAAGCACTGCCATACAAGTATTACAACTCAAACGTAAATTAGAAATTACGGAACGTTCGTCTGTTCAGTTTTCAAAATTTTAATCGAGAACTGTGTAAACATATTTTTCAAGCGAGGTCTGAAATGGAAGTCGCCAGGTTGAAACGAGCGCCTTAACCTCGAGAAAACTGCTTTCTAATTGGCTGATGTCGACTTCTTTTTAGTCATTTCAGTGGTTGGTCAAAGTCCGCGAAAGGTTGTTCTGACGTGACCCGCAATGGGAGGTCCTCAGATCTTTGTTTGGCAGCAGCGAGAACTTTGATCTGATTTTAAAAGAGATTGGTGGAATCCCTGTAGATACAGAAAGTTTAGTTTTGGGAATGATTTTTCTTATCATCTGATACTATTTCCGTTTCTTTAAATCAATTTTGGTGAAGCATTGCATTAAATATGCCCTAAAGTATTAAAATCTGCAAAGTTGCTACATTGAGTTTAATTGCCGTTTAATTAAATGCAAACCTAAAATGATAAATGGTCTATTGACAAATCTGACAGCATTACTTGCCCTTTGAGGCAAAATGAAGCAGAGATATAGTCAAGATAACCTGCCACTTGTATGTACAGTGTCAGAACCAGCTGATGAAGCAGAGCTATAGTCAACGTAACATGCCACTTGTATGTACAGTGTGTCAGAACCAGCTGATGAAGCAGAGCTATAGTCACACCAGCTGATGAAGCAGAGCTATAGTCAACGTAACATGCCACTTGTATGTACAGTGTGTCAGAACCAGCTGATAAAGCAGAGCTATAGTCAACGTAACATGCCACTTGTATGTACAGTGTGTCAGAACCAGCTGATGAAGCAGAGCTATAGTCAACGTAACATGCCACTTGTATGTACAGTGTGTCAGAACCAGCTGATGAAGCAGAGCTATAGTCAACGTAACATGCCACTTGTATGTACAGTGTGTCAGAACCAGCTGATGAAGCAGAGCTATAGTCAACGTAACATGCCACTTGTATGTACAGTGTGTCAGAACCAGCTGATGAAGCAGAGCTATTGTCAACGTAACATGCCACTTGTATGTACAGTGTGTCAGAACCAGCTGATGAAGCAGAGCTATAGTCAACGTAACATGCCACTTGTATGTACAGTATGTCAGAACCAGCTGATGAAGCAGAGCTATAGTCAACGTAACATGCCACTTGTATATACAGTGTGTCAGAACCAGCTGATGAAGCAGAGCTATTGTCAACGTAACATGCCACTTGTATGTACAGTGTGTCAGAACCAGCTGATGAAGCAGAGCTATTTTCTTCTTCTAAGATACATTACCAACTAAACACATATAGAAGATAAGATTCTTTATTGACAAAATGAGTCCAACAGCAGCAAATATATAATGATAATGAAAGTTGTGTTGCCGTCTAAACAGCCAGTTGGACGCATCACTGTGTAGACAGCTAGTTGGACACATCACTGTGTAGACAGCCAGTTGGACGCATCACTGTGTAGACAGCCAGTTGGACACATCACAGTGTAGACAGCCAGTCGGACACATCACTGTGTAGACAGCCAGTTGGACACATCACAGTGTAGACAGCCAGTCTGACACATCACTGTGTAGACAGCCAGTTGGACACATCACAGTGTAGACAGCCAGTTGGACACATCACTGTGTAGACAGCCAGTTGGACACATCACAGTGTAGACAGCCAGTGGGACACATCACAGTGTAGACAGCCAGTCGGACACATCACTGTGTAGACAGCCAGTCGGACACATCACAGTGTAGACAGCTAGTTGGACACATCACAGTGTAGACAGCCAGTTGGACACATCACTGTGTAGACAGCCAGTCGGACACATCACAGTGTAGACAGCTAGTTGGACACATCACAGTGTAGACAGCTAGTTGGACACATCACTGTGTAGACAGCCAGTTGGACGCATCACTGTGTAGACAGCTAGTTGGACACATCACTGTGTAGACAGCCAGTTGGACGCATCACTGTGTAGACAGCTAGTTGGACACATCACAGTGTAGACAGCCAGTCGGACACATCACAGTGTAGACAGCCAGTCGGACACATCACAGTGTAGACAGCTAGTTTAACGCATCACTGTGTAGACAGCCAGTCTGACACATCACTGTGTAGACAGCAAGTGGCTGCAAATCAGTCCTTGCTAAGCTCACCCTATCTCTTCTGTCTACCACCAACTTGTTTGAACATCTTTGCTTTCTTTCCAAACTTGTCCTTGCGATAACCGTAGGATTCTTCACGTCCTCGCCGTTGGGATGTCCTACCCTTTAATTCTGGAGCAATTGATTAAGGTAAAAAACATGTTCACATACAGTAGATAAGTTGTAGTCTACAAGTTCTAGCCTGAAGGACGATCTGTCTTCAGATACTAATTGGGCAGTACTGAAATACAACAGTTACAATAATCAAATAATTACAATAGTAAAATCAAGATATTTTTTTAAAATTTGTACACTTATCCTGCATGACTCTTAAATGCATTTACTGCTTGTTCTTGATAGAAAGAAGAGCTGTGTGAGGTTATGCTGAAGGAGAAGTTGTTCCAACTGGTCGTGAGGCTAATCACATCAAACAGCTCCCATGTGACCACAGAAGTGATCATATCACATATCATCACATTACTGCTAGATTGTAACATTTGAAGACATCGTGGGGAGGCAGCTACGTGATGGCTTGGTCACTTTAGATGAGGTAATGCAGGATAAGTATACAGCTATAAAAAATATCTAGATTTTACTCGATTTTTTATCTTATTCTGCATTACTCCTAAATGCATCTTTATCAGATGGCGGAAGGCATACTTCAGATGCAGTCCCCAGTGACAAACTCTCCAGTAGTTCACAGCAGACCTTGAGCGTATCACTTGTTCAGATGTGTAACTACTTCAACCAATCCTGTCCGCAGATGGTGCGAGAGTATGAGGACGTCTGGGAAAAAAGCAGTAAGAGAAATTAGCTAGAAACTGATATACCAAGCAAAACAGCTGGTTGGCAGAATAAACCCTCTGTCGGGCGTGCAAACACTGCCTGTGTCGGGTAAGGCTGGCTCTGAACAGCAGGAGCATTCTTAATGGTGGCGAGGATTGGTGACCTGTTGGGCTATGACCAGAGGGCCAAAACTATTTTCCAAGACCAAGATCCCCATGTTGTAGCTTCGAAGACAATGTCAGACCCCCTTCCAAGCATCCTTCCATGATGGCTGTAATAGAGTAATTACTGTATAGAGCCATGGTAGGTGCAACCGCCCAGATCACATGAGGATTGTTAGCTCTCGGTGGATACAGGTTGGTGATCTCATAGGCCTGAAGCGACAGATGTAAACTCACAGTGCATGCAAGGGGAACAATAGAAGTTAATGTTATCTTCTGTTCCCACAGTTGATGATAAAGGTAGTTCTGGCAAGCGGCGACGAGGACAATGTTGGGATGACCTAGGCGCTGACACACAAGATTAAAACCTTGGGAGGAAGCTTCCATTCCGAGGGAGCTACCCTGTCTGGCCTGCATCATCTACCAGAATCTGCTGGACCAGAACCTTCATGCCCAGCTGATCTACCAGATGCAAGAACCGGAATGTCTGTTGAAAGAGGGAGAGTGTGCTGTCCCCTGATGGTGCAGGCACCAGACCACCTTGACATGGCAAGTTGAGTGTACCGGAGGCGCTCCTGCCAGTGTGATATCGTTTTAGCAACTTCAACTCCAAGTTGTTTATGTGCCAAGTGTGCTGTGCACCTTACCACAGCCCTGAGGCCCTGAGCATCATCACAGCTGAGTACACCAGAAATGAGCTTCACACATTGTACCCAAGTGGGAAATCGAAACCCAAGAGCTGGAAGCAGATGTTAAGATTCAGCTGTCCAAAAGACTGCAAAGTTGAAAAGTCAACAGCAGGAGGGTTCTGATCGTGTCATGCCTTGATGACACATGGAAAATTGTGTTTGTCAGTGAAACAATGCCAAATCCCATGTAGACAAAATAACCTGCACCTCAACCGATTGCCAATGCATTGATGAAACGGTAAGTGGAAAGTCGAAGCTGTATCCAGTAGATAAGGCTGAATATATGTAAAACTTTTGTCTGAAAGATCGCACCGTAGGAAGTAAGGTGATCACTTCAATCCCCTGGGTGTCCCATAAGGACTCCCGTTCTAATATCCAGGTGATGATAAAGGGAGGTGCCTCTTTACCTCTTTAGTCATCAGAGGTCGACGGAAGGGTCTTGGGAAGAGTTGATTAGACAGGCTTGAGGAAAATGTTGGACCTCCGTTGTATGAAAGCCAATCACGTGTCCAGCAACTGCTCTGAACTCATGAGAGTTGTTGGCCCTGGGGGGATCCAATCCGGCGGTGTCAGAACACTGTAGAATGAGAGCACTTAACCACAAGGAAATCATGTTACGGCTAACTTCTATCTGTGAGGTGTGTGCTATGTCCGTCATCTCCAAAGCATGGATGGGAAATCTTCCTTTCTCAACCGAGGAACCTTGAATGCCGACGATAGATATAATAATGCAAATTCTGCATCCAATACTGAGACCAGATCCTTCAGCATGGAGTACAGCAGAATAGGGGTAGGCTTGGACCAATAGTGTCTTTTTTATCCACGCCCTGATCAGCCCTGATCTTGTAGCTGATCAAGAAACTGGAATTGGCGCTGATGCGGGAAGGCCTATTTCTGGGTCGTTGGCGCGCCACCCTTGGCACCAGTGGGGTAGTCTTAGACGTGTAGATAGGTGTAGTCGTCAGTGTGGTCATCGGAGTCTGGAGTAGACAACGGCACGGTACAGGTGACATGTTTCCCGTCAACATAGAGAGGGGTGGAGGATCCTAGAGGGGTAGATGCTGGTAGGGTCTTCCAGCCTGAAGAAGATGGAGTAGCCGTGGTTAGTGGAGATGTGGCAGTCTCAGAGGAGTAACACATCTTTTTAGCTTGTCTACAAACTTGCTGTGAACAGTGCTTCTGAGAGACCCTAAGGTACTTTGAGAAGGCTGTGGGAGAGGGGTATCCAAAGCTACATTTGTAGCTGTTGAACATATATCGGAGCAGTCCAGACACAGAAGATTGGGGTCCCAGCCAGACTTGTTACCGTGGCACTGAGTACAACAGGACATAAATCTGCAATAAAGCAGAAGGTGTAATCACAATGCGTACCTACCATGGTCGTGTGTGTATGTAACATTCTAAATCCTAGAACATGGATGTTAAGGATAACATTTAGCAAAGGAAGGTGAATAAACACTTCAATAACTGTAGGGAAGCACAGGTACAACAATGTAGAGTGAGTGAGTGAGTGAGATTTTAGCTTTTAGCAATATTCCAGCAATATCACAGCGGGGGGGACACCAGAAATGGGCTTCACACATTGTACCCATGTCGGGAATCGAACCCGGGTATTCAGCGTGATGAGCGAACGCTTTAACCACAAGGCTATCCGACTGCCCCACAACAATGTAGAAGAAGTACCAAGAATACCAAGAGAAACAAGACAAAGAATACAAAACGGATGACACTAAAAAACGTGACCACAATGCGAATTCAAAATGGCTAATTGGAGCAACAATATGCCTGATATTTACCATGACACAAAGCCACCATCAAGTGTTGAATTTAAATGCAATGGCAAAAATCCTTTGTAACATATGAAGTCACAAACCATATAGGTAGGATAAAATTCACATAAAATAATAGTGTTGTAATAACAGGCAAAGAATTGTAATGGATACAGATGAGAGCTCAAAACAGGTGACTGTTCTCTCTGAGTGGCAGTAGTCATGTGTTGATACGTGATGCCATCACTACCGTGGTCACGTGGGAGCTGTGTGATGAGATTAGCGACACAACCAGATGGAAACTCATACTACTCTTCTCTCTGTCAAGAACACACAGTAAATGCATTGAGGAGTAATGAGGATAAGATAAGATAAAAATAATACTTTTGTCGCCTTATTTGTCATACATGTAGGGATACACAAGTAGTCTAATCTGTCAATCACTGAAAAATTAATTAGTTGTCCTGTGACATGTGTACCAGCAACTTGTCCAATATAACACTGTAACTAGTGTGTGGATGTGAGATGTGTACCAGCAACTTGTCCAATATAACACTGTAACAAGTGTGTGGATGTGACATGTGTACCAGCAACTTGTCCAATATAACACTGTAACAAGTGTATGGATGTGACATGTGGACCAGCAACTTGTCCAACATAACCCTGTAACAAGTGTGTGGATGTGACATGTGGACCAGCAACTTGTCCAACATAACCCTGTAACAAGTGTGTGGATGTGACATGTGGACCAGCAACTTGTCCAACATAACCCTGTAACAAGTGTGTGGATGTGACATGTGGACCAGCAACTTGTCCAATATAACCCTGTAACAAGTGTGTGGATGTGACATGTGGACCAGCAACTTGTCCAATATAACCCTGTAACAAGTGTATGGATGTGACATGTGGACCAGCAACTTGTCCAACATAACCCTGTAACAAGTGTGTGGATGTGACATGTGGACCAGCAACTTGTCCAATATAACCCTGTAACAAGTGTGTGGATGTGACATGTGGACCAGCAACTTGTCCAATATAACCCTGTAACAAGTGTGTGGATGTGACATGTGGACCAGCAACTTGTCCAATATAACCCTGTAACAAGTGTGTGGATGTGACATGTGGTCCAGCAACTTGTCCAATATAACCCTGTAACAAGTGTGTGGATGTGACATGTGGACCAGCAACTTGTCCAATATAACCCTGTAACAAGTGTGTGGATGTGACATGTGGTCCAGCAACTTGTCCAATATAACCCTGTAACAACAGTGTGGATGTGACATGTGGACCAGCAACTTGTCCAATATAACCCTGTAACAAGTGTGTGGATGTGACATGTGGACCAGCAACTTGTCCAATATAACACTGTAACAAGTGTGTGGATGTGGCCTGTAGATGTATTTCACAGAGTCAAAAGGATACCCATGTTGGTCTGTGGGGGGACCATCAGGCCGAAGGAGAGAGCCACTTTCTTAAGGTCCAAGGTACTGACATCAAATATCTGTTTGAGGCTATGACTAGCATATGCCCGGACGTAAGACTTGTACGCCATGTCCGCTGACTTGTGTAGGAAGTAGTTCTGTGACATCAGTTTCTCCAGCTGAAAAGTCAAATAAATAAAACAATTCTTTTTTCTATCAGGATTGTTGTTCAAGTTGAGCTTTGAGGCCTTCAAGTTGATCCAATTGAAGTGAATGTGGTTACACGACAGTCAGAGATATTCCCGCTGTACCACAACTGTCTGTCACTCATTGTGTCAAAAGATTAGGAGGAATCCTTTATACTTATTTTACTGCAATTGGTAATTCAGTATCTGAAAAAGCAGAGTTGGTACTAGAAAAGATGATAACACTGTAACCCACAACAGTTAAGAGATAATGCCAATAAGGACATTTTGTACAAACTCACTCCCATTATAACCAACACAAAATATTCAGCTTTCATGGCCCTATGGCTTCTGAAAATATGTTCCTTAAACTTACCGATTTAAATCTGGTTTGTTTTACAATCTCAACAGAACATACAATAAACAAACTTGTGACATAAATGATGGGATGAAAATGAATGCCAAGTTTCAGGTGCAGCACCTTCAAATAGATGGTGACAGAAAATGACAGACAACAACTACTGAGAAGCCGTCATGAAAAATGCTCCCCTTGCACAATAATTACCTGTACAATGAATGACCTGTGTGTGAAGTAATCAAGTTCTACTCCCTTCACTCTACCTGTACAATGAATGACCTATACAATGAATGACCTGTGTGTGAAGTAATCAAGTTCAACTCCCTTCACTCTACCTGTACAATGAATGACCTGTACTATGAACGACCTGTGTGTGAAGTAATCAAGTTCTACTCCATTCACTCTACCTGTACAATGAATGACCTGTGTGTGAAGTAATCAAGCTCTACTCCCTTCACTCTACCTGTACAATGAATGACCTGTACAATGAATGACCTTTACAATGAACGACCTGTACTATGAACGACCTGTACAATTAATGACCTGTACAATGAAGAGAATATGTGACTTACCTGAGGCTGGATGTTGGAGATTTTACTCCAGGCAAATTCAAACTCATGAAGTGGAATTTTGGCCTGCTTCAGATATCGAAGGAAGCCCAACTCTTCAGGGCGAAGAATGAGCAGTGCATGTCCACAGCCGCCATCCCCACGAGCAGTTCGGCCAACTCTGTGAATGTATTCCTGCAATATTCCTTGCCATATTAATATAATAGGAACAATTCAAAGTAATATCCTGTAAGAGACATATTAGCACAAATCCTGAATATTGGTTTCACAAACCACACATGGCATCTGAATCATGGAAGGCTAATTCATCATGTTCAATTCAATGCAATGTATTTGAGGTTTACACTGCTCTGAGACTCAACCCAGTCTTGTGCCATGCTCCAAAGCACCATAGCTGATCTAAATGTCAACAAGGACAACAAAAAAGAACAAAATTTGCTGTCAGCACAGATATTCAGAAAAATTCTGTTAATCATGTTAATATTGAGAATGTAAGTAAAGGGGAATTCATAAAAATTCTTTTGATAAATTCAGCAAAATTCTGCCATATCTGAAACAATTCTAGACGGAAAATGTTACTCAATATGCAGATGTGGGACCAGTCTAATCATTGCCTATCTTTTCAAATAGGAAGTTATCCTATTCCAGTACAAAATCATACCAAGTTTAGTGATAACATAAATAATGTAAGAGAAAATACAACCAAATAGTGTGAAGTTATTATCTAGGGACCTTTCTCTTGGTTATATGCTTTCTGAAAGGAAGTTCAGTCAAATGTAACAGTCAGTTCCATGAAAGCAGCAAGACAGGAGAGTGTGGGTCAAATGTAACAGTCAGTCCTTAGAAAGCAGCAAGACAGGAGAGTGTGGGTCAAATGTAAGTCAGTCCTTAGAAAGCAGCAAGACAGGAGAGTGTGGGTCAAATGTAACAGTCAGTCCTAAGAAAGCAGCAAGACAGGAGAGTGTGGGTCAAATGTAAGTCAGTCCTTAGAAAGCAGCAAGACAGGAGAGTGTGGGTCAAATGTAAGTCAGTCCTTAGAAAGCAGCAAGACAGGAGAGTGTGGGTCAAATGTAACAGTCAGTCCTTAGAAAGCAGCAAGACAGGAGAGTGTGGGTCAAATGTAAGTCAGTCCTTAGAAAGCAGCAAGACAGGAGAGTGTGGGTCAAATGTTACAGTCAGTCCTTAGAAAGCAGCAAGACAGGAGAGTGTGGGTCAAATGTAACAGTCAGTCCTTAGAAAGCAGCAAGACAGGAGAGTGTGGGTCAAATGTTACAGTCAGTCCTTAGAAAGCAGCAAGACAGGAGAGTGTGGGTCAAATGTAAGTCAATCCTTAGAAAGCAGCAAGACAGGAGAGTGTGGGTCAAATGTTACAGTCAGTCCTTAGAAAGCAGCAAGACAGGAGAGTGTGGGTCAAATGTAACAGTCAGTCCTTAGAAAGCAGCAAGACAGGAGAGTGTGGGTCAAATGTTACAGTCAGTCCTTAGAAAGCAGCAAGACAGGAGAGTGTGGGTCAAATGTTACAGTCAGTCCTTAGAAAGCAGCAAGGCAGGAGAGTGTGGGTCAAATGTTACAGTCAGTCCTTAAATGCAGCAAGACAGGAGTTTGTGGGTCAAATGTTACAGTCAGTCCTTAGAAAGCAGCAAGACAGGAGAGTGTGGGTCAAATGTTACAGTCAGTCCTTAGAAAGCAGTAAGACAGGAGAGTGTGCGTCAAATGTAACAGTCAGTCCTTAGAAAGCAGCAAGACAGGAGAGTGTGGGTCAAATGTAACAGTCAGATCTTAGAAAGCAGCAAGACAGGAGAGTGTGGGTCAAATGTAACAGTCAGTCCTTAGAAAGCAGCAAGACAGGAGAGTGTGGGTCAAATGTAACAGTCTGTCCTTAAATGCAGCAAGACAGGAGAGTGTGCGTCAAATGTAACAGTCAGTCCTTAGAAAGCAGCAAGACAGGAGAGTGTGGGTCAAATGTAAGAGTCAGTCCTTAGAAAGCAGCAGGACAGGAGAGTGTGGGTCAAATGTTACAGTCAGTCCTTAGAAAGCAGCAAGACAGGAGAGTGTGGGTCAAATGTAACAGTCAGTCCTTAGAAAGCAGCAAGACAGGAGAGTGTGGGTCAAATGTAACAGTCAGTCCTTAGAAAGCAGCAAGACAGGAGAGTGTGGGTCAAATGTAACAGTCAGTCCTTAGAACGCAGCAAGACAGGAGAGTGTGGGTCAAATGTAACAGTCTGTCCTTAAATGCAGCAAGACAGGAGAGTGTGCGTCAAATGTAACAGTCAGTCCTTAGAAAGCAGCAAGACAGGAGAGTGTGGGTCAAATGTAACAGTCAGTCCTTAGAAAGCAGCAAGACAGGAGAGTGTGGGTCAAATGTAACAGTCAGTCCTTAGAAAACAGCAAGACAGGAGAGTGTGGGTCAAATGTAACAGTCTGTCCTTAAATGCAGCAAGACAGGAGAGTGTGGGTCAAATGTAACAGTCAGTCCTTAGAAAGCAGCAAGACAGGAGAGTGTGGGTCAAATGTTACAGTCAGTCCTTAGAAAGCAGCAAGACAGGAGAGTGTGGGTCAAATTTAACAGTCAGTCCTTAGAAAGCAGCAAGACAGGAGAGTGTGGGTCAAATGTAAGTCAGTCCTTAGAAAGCAGCAAGACAGGAGAGTGTGGGTCAAATGTTACAGTCAGTCCTTAGAAAGCAGCAAGGCAGGAGAGTGTGGGTCAAATGTTACAGTCAGTCCTTAGAAAGCAGCAAGGCAGGAGAGTGTAGGTCAAATGTTACAGTCAGTCCTTAAATGCAGCAAGACAGGAGTTTGTGGGTCAAATGTTACAGTCTGTCCTTAGAAAGCAGCAAGACAGGAGAGTGTGGATCAAATGTAAGTCAGTCCTTAGAAAGCAGCAAGACAGGAGAGTGTGGGTCAAATGTAACACTCAGTCCTTAGAAAGCAGCAAGACAGGAGAGTGTGGGTCAAATGTTACAGTCAGTCCTTAGAAAGCAGCAAGACAGGAGAGTGTGGGTCAAATGTAACAGTCAGTCCTTAGAAAGCAGCAAGACAGGAGAGTGTGGGCCAAATGTAAGTCAGTCCTTAGAAAGCAGCAAGACATGAGAGTGTGGGTCAAACGTAACAGTCAGTCCTTAGAAAGCAGCAAGACAGGAGAGTGTGGGTCAAATGTTACAGTCAGTCCTTAGAAAGCAGCAAGACAGGAGAGTGTGGGTCAAATGTTACAGTCAGTCCTTAGAAAGCAGCAAGACAGGAGAATGTGGGTCAAATGTTACAGTCAGTCCTTAAATGCAGCAAGACAGGAGAGTGTGGGTCAAATGTAACAGTCAGTCCTTAGAAAGCAGCAAGACAGGAGAGTGTGGGTCAAATGTTACAGTCAGTCCTTAGAAAGCAGCAAGACAGGAGAGTGTGGGTCAAATGTAAGTCAGTCCTTAGAAAGCAGCAAGACAGGCGAGTGTGGGTCAAATGTTTCAGTCAGTCCTTAGAAAGCAGCAAGACAGGAGAGTGTGGGTCGAATGTTACAGTCAGTCCTTAGAAAGCAGCAAGACAGGAGAGTGTGGGTCAAATATTACAGTCAGTCCTTAAATGCAGCAAGACAGGAGAGTGTGGGTCAAATGTTACAGTCAGTCCTTAAATGCAGCAAGACAGGAGAGTGTGGGTCAAATATTACAGTCAGTCCTTAGAAAGCAGCAAGACAGGAGAGTGTGGGTCAAATTTAACAGTCAGTCCTTAGAAAGCAGCAAGACAGGAGAGTGTGGGTCAAATGTTACAGTCAGTCCTTAGAAAGCAGCAAGACAGGAGAGTGTGGGTCAAATGTAAGTCAGTCCTTAGAAAGCAGCAAGGCAGGAGAGTGTGGGTCAAATGTTACAGTCAGTCCTTAGAAAGCAGCAAGGCAGGAGAGTGTAGGTCAAATGTTACAGTCAGTCCTTAAATGCAGCAAGACAGGAGTTTGTGGGTCAAATGTTACAGTCTGTCCTTAGAAAGCAGCAAGACAGGAGAGTGTGGATCAAATGTAAGTCAGTCCTTAGAAAGCAGCAAGACAGGAGAGTGTGGGTCAAATGTAACACTCAGTCCTTAGAAAGCAGCAAGACAGGAGAGTGTGGGTCAAATGTTACAGTCAGTCCTTAGAAAGCAGCAAGACAGGAGAGTGTGGGTCAAATGTAAGTCAGTCCTTAGAAAGCAGCAAGACAGGAGAGTGTGGGTCAAATGTTACAGTCAGTCCTTAGAAAGCAGCAAGACAGGAGAGTGTGGGTCGAATGTTACAGTCAGTCCTTAGAAAGCAGCAAGACAGGAGAGTGTGGGTCAAATATTACAGTCAGTCCTTAAATGCAGCAAGACAGGAGAGTGTGGGTCAAATGTTACAGTCAGTCCTTAAATGCAGCAAGACAGGAGAGTGTGGGTCAAATATTACAGTCAGTCCTTAGAAAGCAGCAAGACAGGAGAGTGTGGGTCAAATGTAACAGTCAGTCCTTAGAAAGCAGCAAGACAGGAGAGTGTGCGTCAAATGTAACAGTCAGTCCTTAGAAAGCAGCAAGACAGGAGAGTGTGGGTCAAATGTAAGTCAGTCCTTAGAGTGAGTGAGTGAGTTGGGTTTAACGCCGCTTTTAACATTATTCCAGTTATATCACGGCGTGTCAGCTTAATGTTGGAGGAAAGCCCGAAGTGATGCAGGTCTCAGACGTTTACCACTTCGGTGAAACCCACGAGCACGGGTATGGTGCTGACAAACCTAGAAACATAATTGGGGCGAACCGGGATTCGAACCCACAATCATAGGTTCCTGGCTTGCCCAAGGGACGCAACTCTGCACAGCAATCAGCGATCAGTCCTTAGAAAGCAGCAAGACAGGAGAGTGTGGGTCAAATGTTACAGTCAGTCCTTAGAAAGCAGCAAGACAGGAGAGTGTGGGTCAAATGTAAGTCAGTCCTTAGAAAGCAGCAAGACAGGAGAGTGTGGGTCAAATGTAACATTGAAAATTTTTTTTGAACCTCTTGGACAGGCAAGCAGGCACTGACAAATGGGCACTTTGACAGGTGCACTAAACCAAAAAGTTAAAACAGCAGCCATGGTATGGGTGAGGCAGCTATGTTCTTAAAGAGCTATCTCACCTTTGGGTCATCAGGTGGGTCGTATTGTATGATCCAATCAACCAGTGGGATATCAAGCCCACGAGCAGCAACATCAGTACACAATAATATGGCTTCTTTGGAATTGCAAAACTGGAAAAACGTCTGTGTTCGTTTACTTTGCTTTTGTTTACCCTGAAATAATAAAGTATGGCTTCTAAAGTAAGTGCTACATACATGATGGCAACAAAACACTATGAGGAGCAAGTTTATGCTGTTATCTTCCATGTCTACAGGCAGGGATCATTTCCACAGACATTACACAAAATTATCACAGTAAATCTTCTAAATATGACATTATCCTAATGTTGACCTAACTAATATTATTATATAACTGTTAGATTTGCCAGTTGTCAAACCCTAGCACAGTCAAGTCCCATTAATCCGACATGGTTGGTTGCACATTCTTATGTCGGATAAACGAGTAGGTTGTGTCATGTACGTATTAGGAGTGTGCACGCCAAACACAACAGAACATGGAAGGAAGCCATCATAGTTTACTCAGACATCGCATCCATACATGACGTCATCATATGACGTAACGAGATCATGTGTACTTGGATATTTCGGGAAACTGTATCACACAAGATGTAAACAACTATAATAGGAGAATACACTACAGGTTGGATAAACGAAATTAAGCTTAACACAACCATGGTTATGGGCTGTGTGACTGATTCAAAATACTGTAAAAAGCATAGTCTGGAATGAAAGACGCCAGTTTGCTGCAAAGCTCAAGAAAGCTGCTTTCTGATTGGCTAATGTCGACTTCCTGTTAGTCATTGGTCGGTCAAAGTTTGCGAAAGGTCATTCTGACATGACCTGTAATGGGATATCTTGTGAGATCTTGTATCTGATTTTAATGAGATTGAGGTAATCTAAGCATGTGATTTATATTGTTTTGTTTATTAAAAGCTAAATTGTTTATTGTTAAGCAAGTTTATCTCTACAGCCGTTGTAATAAGCAGCTACCAGCCAGCTCGACTCGCATCAAAACATGGGGCTGGGAACTCTTGCAGGCAGATGACCACGGAGTACGCTGATCACCGTGTCGGATTAACTAGACTGATTAATGAGTGATTTCAGTAAACCGTTGCAAATTAGGTGTGTCCAAGTCTGAGTGCAAGACTGTCAGATTAATGGGTCGAAATAGCACTGATTTAATTGGTTCCCATAATTAGTGTCGGATAAATCCGATTGTCGGATTAACGAGAGTCAGATTAATGAGACTTGACTGTATGTGTTTACAAAGGACCTGTCTTCAGGTTGATTTTGATTTGAAAGCAACAGCAATAACTGAGCAAGCTTAGCCACTCAAAACATCTTCACTCATGGTTTTCAAAACAAAATACAGTGACAAACTTAATACGAGACTATAATAAAATAAGTTTCCCTGCTGTGACTGAGTCTCTGATGTGGGAGTATGTACATACATGGATACACATGACTGGCAGGTCAATGTAGTTCAGAAGCTCGCTGTGGAACTTCACAGCCATACACGAACTGAAGAAAACCATTATCTTCTTTTTGCGATTCTTCTTCAGGAAAGTGAACAAGAGAAGAAATCGTCTGTCTGATGGGGATACAACATAGCCCTGAAACATACAAAATGGCATTGAAACATACATCTTAGCCCTGAAACATACAACTTAGCCCTGACACGTACACCTTAGCCCTGAAACGTACAACATAGCCCTGACACAACACCTTATTCTGGATATATACATACAACTTTGCCCTGAAACATACAACTTAGCCCTGAAACAAACATGCAAATATGGCTTGAAACATACAACCTAGCCCTGAAACATACACCTTAGCCCTGAAACATACATCTTACCCCGGAAACAAACATGCAAATATGCCTTGAAACATACAGCTTAGCCCTGAAACATACAGCTTAGCCCTGAAACATACAACTTAGCCCTGAAACATACAACTTAGCCCTGCAACAAACATGCAAAATATGCCTTGAAACATACAGCTTAGCCCTGAAACATACACCTTAGCCCTGAAACATACAGCTTAGCCCTGAAACATACAGCTTAGCCCTGAAACATACACCTTAGCCCTGAAACATACAACTTAGCCCTGAAACATACAACTAAGCCCTGCAACAAACATGCAAAATATGCCTTGAAACATACAGCTGAACCCTGCAACAAACATGCAAATATGCCTTCAAACATACAGGTTAGCCCTGAAACATACATGTTAGCCCTGATACAAACATGCAAATATGCCTTCAAACATACAACTTAGCCCTGCAACAAACATGCAAATATGCCTTGAAACATACAGTTTAGCCCTGCAACAAACATGCAAATATGCCTTGAAACATACACCTCAGCCCTGAAACATACAACTTTGCCCTGAAACATACAACATAGCCCTGACACATACATCTTAGCCCTGAAACATACAACTTAGCCCTGCAACAAACATGCAAATATGCCTTGAAACATACAGCTTAGCCCTGACACGTACACCTTAGCCCTGAAACATACAACTTAGCCCTGACACATACATCTTAGCCCTGAAACATACAACTTAGCCCTGCAACAAACATGCAAATATGCCTTGAAACATACACCTCAGCCCTGAAACATACAACTTTGCCCTGAAACATACAACATAGCCCTGACACATACATCTTAGCCCTGAAACATACAACTTAGCCCTGCAACAAACATGCAAATATGCCTTGAAACATACAGCTTAGCCCTGACACGTACACCTCAGCCCTGAAACATACAACTTAGCCTGAATCATACATACAACTTAGCTTGAATCATACATGCAACTTAGCCTGAATCATACATACAACTTAGTCTGAAACATACATACAACTTAGCCCTGAATCATACATACAACTTAGTCAGAATCATACATACAACTTAATCTGAATCATACATGCAACTTAGCCTGAATCATACATGCAACTTAGTCAGAATCATACATACAACTTAGCCCTGAATCATACATACAACTTACCCTGAATCATACATGCAACTTAGCCTGAATCATACATGCAACTTAGTCTGAATCATACATACAACTTAGCCTGAATCATACATACAACTTAGCTTGAATCATACATACAACTTAGCCCTGAATCATACATACAACTTAGCCCTGAATCATACATACAACTTAGTCTGAATCATACATACAACTTAGCCTGAATCATACATACAACTTAGCCCTGAATCATACATACAACTTAGTCTGAATCATACATACAACTTAGCCTGAATCATACATACAACTTAGTCTGAATCATACTTTTTGTTAGTGATTTCATTGGCCAGTCAAAGTTCGCAAAAGGTCCTTCTGACGAGACCTGTGATGGGATGTCCTTGGATCTTTGTAAGAACAAAGGTCTGATCTTAATGAGATTGCACACGACATAGCTTTAAATCATACATCCTAACTTTGTATCATACATCCTAACTTTGTCTCATACATCCTAACTTTGTCTCATACATCCTAACTTTGTCTCATACATCCTAACTTTGTCTCATACATCCTAACTTTGTATCATACATCCTAATTTTGTATCATACATCCTAACTTTGTATCATACATCCTAACTTTGTCTCATACATCCTAACTTTGTATCATACATCCTAACTTTGTCTCATACATCCTAACTTTGTATCATACATCCTAACTTTGTATCATACATCCTAACTTTGTCTCATACATCCTAATTTTGTATCATACATCCTAACTTTGTCTCATACATCCTAACTTTGTATCATACATCCTAACTTTGTATCATACATCCTAACTTTGTATCATACATCCTAACTTTGTATCATACATCCTAACTTTGTCTCATACATCCTAATTTTGTATCATACATCCTAACTTTGTCTCATACATCCTAACTTTGTATCATACATCCTAACTTTGTATCATACATCCTCACTTTGTCTCAAACATCCTCACTTTGTATCATACATCCTCACTTTGTATCATACATCCTAACTTTGTTATCATACATCCTAACTTTGTATCATACATCCTAACTTTGTATCATACATCCTAACTTTGTATCATACATCCTAACTTTGTCTCATACATCCTAACTTTGTATCATACATCCTAACTTTGTCTCATACATACTAACTTTGTCTCATACATCCTAACTTTGTATCATACATCCTAACTTTGTATCATACATCATACAACAATTGCAATGTATTGTGTGTCACACCCAGCAGCTCTGTTTGACCAGGCTACTTCACATGAACCATCATCCAGCTCATCTCACCTGCTCCAGGCCTTCGACTGTGGCAGCATCCTTCCGGTCATCAACACCCACGTACAATGGTTCTTTCTTCAAGGATACTCGAGCCAAATCTTCCGTTTTTCTGGTGGGTGTTGCTGAGAAAAGCATGGTCTGCCGCCTCTCTGACAAAGAATATTAGTAATTTTGTAACAAAATCCAGACGACGCAATGTTACAGATGTACTGATGTATTGATATCACAACATCCTGTAGAGATTTCGGTGTGGGTTTGGGTGTAGTCGGAGATGGCTGAAATATTTTTCATTACTTTTCAGATTTTAGGAGCCATTGCTAATTCTGATCCTATTGTGTTTCTACACATTTCACCAAGTTTCAGCTTCCTGGGCCTTGTTGTTAACATTTAAAGAAAACCCATCCTATATATGCCACTAGACCATGAAATACTACTCAGTGTTCAAGTTCATCCCTCCATCAATGTGAGGAAGGCTTGTGTGGACATTTGGTCCATGTTGGCTAAAACAATCAAAACAAGACAAAAAGTGATCAGGGCTTATACCACCAATCTCGACTCAAACATCAGCCGAAGAACAATTTTGATATTGGAGAAATATTGATGCCAAAACGTTTGAACCTGTTTCACTTAAAAAGCTATCATACAGGAAGTTCACATGGACAGGGTTTGGGTTTTTGCGATGTTCTCAGGGTGAAGATTTTTATGGCTACAGACATTTCAACAGAACAGTCCCAGTTCATTGTCTTCAGGGATCACATTCAGATACAAGAAGTAATCTGAACATGGCTGCAGAACCATGGGGTCTGGTTATGAGCCTCTCGAAACCAGACCTACCTTTGAAAAATAATATTGATTCATGGCACAGTATTCGCCCACCTAAATATACTCTTTAAAAAAAGGAAACGCAATACAGATATTTTTGGCCAGAAAAGCAAGATAAGCAGACCAAAAGCTGCAAAATGAAGAGGTTTAATGTGTTATAGTGTTGGTGACAAATTTCCCGGATCAAAATGATCACAACAAGGACATGCAAACAATTAGTCGGGAAACATGAACGATTCGGAAAAACTCACCCAGTGCATTAACAAAAGGGTCATGGAGCTGCACGCACTGCACGTGCAGCAGCACTATGAACGGTATAAAAGTGCAGGTTTTTTTATTGCCTGGCATCTGCAGCAATCAAACAGTGACAGTTCAACAACATGCCAAGATTTACCGAAGGGCAAAGAAACGTCATAGGCGCTTGCAGGCAGGGGAATGCGCGATCAGCTGTATCCAGGGTTTTCAATGTAGCGCCCAGCACCATCACAAGGCTATGGGATCTTTTTCAACAGCATGGGTCAACACTTGATCGGCCAAGGCCAGGATGATCAAAAGTAACCACCCCTGACCAAGATCGCTACATCCGACTGCGCCACCTACGTGAAAGGACAACCTGTCAACTCAACTGCATCCCAAATACCCGGACTGTGCAGAATCTCCGAGCAGACCGTAAGAAACCGTTCAAGAGCAGCAGGTCTACGAGCAAGACGTCCTGCGTGATGCGTCACATTACTTCGACAACATCGTCAACAACGCCTGCATTGGTGTCGTTAACACAGGGTATGGCCTCAACTGCGATGGAGGGATGTCTGGTTCAGAACGCTACGCTGGAAATTGCATACAGGAAGTGGACTGGTTTGGTGGTTGTAGCGTTATGATGTGGGAGGCTATTTCTCATCATGGCAGGACAGGTTTGGTCCATATCCAGGGCAATCTTACTGCTCAACAATACATCAGTGAAATTCTACCACACATCCTCCCAATTGCAGTCAACAGCAACGGTGTATTCCAGCAGGACAACGTTCGACCGCATACAGCACGAATCACAAGAGCCTGTCTACGCATCAACAACGTTGATGTTTTCCCCTGGCCCTCCAGATCCCCGGATTTTAAACCGATAGAGCACCTGTGGGATGAATTTGATAGACGGCTACACCGACGTCAACCACAACCCCATACGTTGCAGAAGTTGGCTTTTGCAATGCAGACCGAGTGGGCTGCCATTCCCCAGGATGTAGTTCACATACTCTTCTCTTCCATGGGGAGGAGATGGCAGGCAGCTATCGATTCCAACGGGGGACATATGCGTTATTGATGGTAGCTGACCTTCACCTTGGACTTTTCCTTTGTACCGATAGCTCAGATGACTACAATCCCCAAGTGTTCTCTCCACAACATTTTGGCATTTTGTACAGTTCCTCGTATAAAAGTATTTTCCTACCTCACACAAATCTGGCTTTGCGTTTCTTTTTCTTGAAGAGTATATATACCACCCTCAATACATGAAGGTGTAGAATTTTACACAATAACCGACCCCATTTCGCCATTTACCCTTTTCTGAAACGGATTTGTGCCTTATTAAATCAGAAATGTAGGAATTAGTTCATGAGGTGTTCTCAGGAAGCGAACTAACCTAGATGATGCCCCAGGTTTAGTCTCGGCTATTGGAGGAGTCCCTAAGGAGAATAAGAAACTTAGGACTCATCGAAAACCTGCACAAACTTAATGCATATTGCAACATTATGCCATTTCTATATGAGGCCAAAAGCACTGATTTAGGTCTTGTGACATGTGATTATGTGGTTACCTTGGATATCAACAACGGATCACCAGCGACATTCGGGCATATAATTTTAAGGAATTGTTTACGTATGGAGAGTGACACTTTTTGTTTGAGCTCAAGACCCTACTATTTCCCATGAAAGAAGTTCCATAACAGGAACCCTGCAAGTCCACCTAGTTCAGGGAACCAGAGTGATCTTGGCCAGTAAGGCCCAATGCCACTAGGGATTGTCCATGGTGACCAGGGGAGGTAACTCTGATCCGTGACCTGGTGGAGAGCACTGGCCCCCCACATGGCCTTCCACACTATGGATTCTGTGTTTTTTCGTAGAAGTGAAGAATGAAATAACACTATGTTTTATCAGCATATGTAATACCTTAAATTTCCAAAACTTACTTGGCAACAGTTTGATAATCTGTCGCATTTCTTCTTCAAATCCCAAATCCAGTATTCGATCAGCTTCATCAATGATGAGGCACTGGAGGTTCTTGAACATGAAGTCTGGCGTGTTCTGAAGCATAATTATAACTTAGGAATGTCACTTCAAATGTTATAGCCAACAATTCCATGGGACCCAACTGAAGCTAGCTCCTGCCAAGAAAAGTGCCTGATGTCTACGCCAGAAGATGTTAAAAATTACAAAAGATTATGACAAATTACAGACATGGTGATAAACAAACAAGAACAGAAGGTCAACACCACATCTACATTTCTTTCCTAAAACAAGTAAAGGTCAACTATTAAATTTCATCCAGGTTTTTCCCCATAAAATGCTGTACAAACTTATAATTGTTGAGAAGCAAAATAGATCACTTTGTTTCATTAGAACCATGGATGTTGACACAACAGCCCTTATTTGCTCCAGCTGTGTTGGACATGAACATCCCAGAATGGAAATACCCCCAACTTCCCCCCTCATGGCCGCTGTGTACCCACCTGCAGATGGTCCAGAAGGCGGCCTGGCGTAGCCACCAGTATATTGATTCCCTTGGCCAGCTTCTTGGCCTCTTGTTTCCGATCCGTGCCCCCCATGACGAGTCCATAGGTGTGGCAGTGGTACTTGAGCAGCTCCTTCAGCACCCCGAATGTCTGCATGGACAGCTCCCGAGTGGGCGAAATAATGATGCAGCCAGTTCCATTGCGAGGCATGAACTTCAGTTTGTACATCAAGTCAACAGCAGGAATAAGGAATGCCAGCGTTTTGCCGCTTCCAGTCTTTGCAGCTCCCATGAGATCCCTGGCAAGTGAAACAATTCATCATTGTATCAACTGGTGATACTCAAGAAATATACAGCCACATCCCTTGTCTCCAACTTGTGGGTTCAACATGTTCAACATAGCTAATTGGATTTTATTACTGTCCAACCAAGGTATTCATAAAACATACCACATCGTGATGTTTGGTATAGACAATTTATATAATAAGAAATAAAAACAGAACCATCTGTAATATCCACATTACTGCCTACATATGTATTTTATTCATAATATCGAGACATCACATGACTGATGATGTAATTATATGACTTATTTTTTACTATGAACTGAGTTTGTGACGACCAGGAGTTTGACCCATCCAGGTTAAAATAGTGATAAATATAGTAAGACTTTCCTAGGACTGAGTTCGACACCTCCATTGTTTTGACACATTTGTGTTGTGAGACAATGGGATTGGAATGTATTGGAAGTTTGTTAAAACAAATAACATATAAGCAAACAGATTAGGGCGTCATTGGAGGAGAGTTATGACCACGATACATGGGGTTCATTCTCCACTAAGTGTGCATATTACAAAGTTGAAACATGAAAACTAAACTTCTTCCTGACTGGTTGATTGACGGTGAATACGTATGAAGTGCCTGCATGGTACAGATGTCAATCATAAAAATACTTTATGATGAATGATTATCTGTTGTTCTGTTATAACAGTTACATCCACATGAAAAAGACATTGTTTCATTGTTTGAAACCTGTATGGTTTGTTTTTTAGCTATCACTATCCCCTGCCATGGGGCACATTAGAATTTTGTTTGTTCACATAGTATTGAATATAAACTATACAAAAGAGACGGATGAACGTCGATCCCATATACCCCGCCCCACTTCATGGCGTGTGATAAAAGTACAGTACATGTACCTCATTTGACAAGTTTTAGTTTCACATATCATAGGTCATTTGATGAATGACAAAACAAAATGCATCCATGCCAGAGAGGTCAAAATCTGAAGTAGACCCAAACGTTCTTAATGAGAACTTATTAAAATAAGAATCAGTCCATTTGGACTCTGCTCATTTTACTAGGATTTTTGTATTTTGGCCCTAGTACTCACCATTGCTTCCTTGATCTAAGTAAAATAATAATAAATTGAATAAATACGCATGTGTAAATATTTCAAAATAGTAACCATCGAACAGAATACGAACATATGTATGTATATGTATGCGGTAGATGCTGAATGCGTCTAACGCCCAAGCCTGCGGATCCAAAATCATGTTGCACCAGTTGAAATGCCTCTGGGTGGAGTTTCCACTCCATGGGAACCACCCTCTCTGGCCTGGAAAATGCATCTGCTAGAATGTCCCGATATCTGGGGATGTGCTGAACTAGGAATTGTAGAACCAGATGATGCATCAGATGAAAGAACCAAAACATCTGTTGAAGCAGGGAGTGAGTGTGCGTTTCCTCTTGGTTGCACATGCACCAAACCACCATGCTGTTGTCGATGGAGATGGCGAGTTGAGTGTTCCGGAGACGTTCCTACCAAGGTGAAATTGCCAGAATGAGCACCATAAAATCAAGATTGTTGATGTGCCATGTGTGCTGTGCGCTAGACCACAGCCCTGAAACTGCTGAAACTTAGCTCTGTTAAGGAGATGCCTCCTAAGATGTTCAACTCTATTATCCACCAACTGAGATGTGTCCTGAGGTGAGACAGAAGAGTGATGGCTACGTGCAGGTCCTGACATCTGATGTAAGGCGGCAGGAATTATTGTATTGGGCATAGGTTCAGACAACCTCTGCTTGTCAAATCCTGGGCTGATGTGAGCAATCCCAGCAACACTTGCCACTGACAATGTGTATGTGGCTGTTAAAGAGAGGGCAGAAGATATAGAATAGGCTGTAAAGTTAAAACATCAACAACAGTAGGGCTTCTGATTGTGTCGTGCCTTGATGAGACGTGGGAAATTGTGTTGGCAAGTGAACCAAATCCAGATGCCAAGTAGACTAAATGAAAGCGCTCCCCAAGCAAAGGTTTTCATTTCCATCCCGTGGGCGTCATATCAGCATTCTTATATCGAGGTGATGACGAATGCATGTGCTTCGTTATTCCACATGTTGTCATCACTGGCTGACATAGGTCGTGGGAAGAATTATAAAGTCAGCGCTGTATCTAGTAGCTGAAGCAGTAAGTCAATATATCTAATGTGTTTACATTATAGCATGTTCCACCAGAGTGCTATGTACACAGTTATTATAGCTAGCTGTTGTACCAGCACTGTACTGTAGATCATTGGGAGTTATTCCCCTTTAGTTGATTAAACATGGCTATAAACCAGACATGTGCTTTTGACTCACAACAAAGTTGAACCTCCTAAACAGAAGTTCCAGAAGTCAATAAGACCATTACATGGTGTCAGAAGCTGGTAAATGAACTCAGCTGACAAAATGCAAGGATTGGAGCGTCCTAAAGCACTAGATTTCACTGGTAATCTTAGTGAAAACTGGCGTAGATTCAAGCAAGCATGGGAGTGCTATTACACTGTCACTATAGATGGAAAACAGAAGACTGAGCGAAACAAGTCTTCACTACTCCTAAATGCCATTGGGGATAATGCAAGAGAAGTATATAATTCCTTTCAATGGGATGAAGAAGAAGATAATATGAAAATTTGAGCAGTATTGTGTTCCTAGAAAAAAACATAACATTTGAAAGGTACAAGTTTTTCACTTGTTCTCAGAAGTCGACCAGAAAATTGATCAGTATGTTTGTGACTTACAGCAAATGGCAAAATCTTAGTAAAATCTAAATATTTTTTACATTTGTATACTTATCCTGCATTACTCCTTAAAGCATTCACTGCTTATCTTGCGACAAAAAAAACCCAAGACAGCGTACCGGCGATGGTCCTTGGGTGAAGGCTCTGTTCCACAATGCCACGTTACCACGCCGTCGCTGTCCCCGTGACCTCACTTGACCAAAGGTCAACTCTTCACATCACTGCCTGTGGCCCGAGCTTAAAAAACATACTTTTGAGGTTTCTGAAGCCAAAGTGGGGAGGCAAGTCTGCGACGGGTGGGCCTTAAACGTAGTAATGCAGGATAAATATACAAATGTAAAAAATATTTAGATTTTACTAATTTTTTTACTTATCCTGCATTACTCCTTAATGCATCTGTATCGGACGGTTTGGAGGTGGGAAATCCTCACAATACAGAAACCTCAATAACTCACGTCCTGAAAATACGACACAGATTGGTCAGTAAACCGTTTAGCGGAAGAGTTGAGAGAAAACGCTAATACGATAGGGTATTACAATGTGGCAAACAATTGCACATGGGAATTAAAGAGTAGTTCCCTATACATTTTTAGTAATAAAGACAACGAGCTCATCAGCAAAATCTTTACTTACTATATAATTAAAGCCCTGATGACAATAACTTGTCTTCCACTGGCGAAATCTGATCGATTACTGCGGAAGGGAAAGGCTCTGTATAGGGTGAGTACATTATTTGCGTCGAGGGTTGGTAACTTGCTGAGCTACAACCAACGGCCCCAAACTCTGTACACCTTCAATGTCCTCGAGAGTCACATCGCGAGGATAATGACTAGCGAAAACTGTGTCAGACCTCCAAAAACATCCTTCCATGATTGTCTTAATAGTACAATTTCATGAGGATTATTCGTTCTTGGCGGATCCAAATTGGCTATCTAATAGGCTTGAAGGATGACTGCGCGTAACCATAAAGATATGGTGTTGCGACTGACCTCGGTCGTGGACGTAGTAGATACGGGTATAAATAACCGCTTCCTTGAACCACGCCTAGTCTTGGAACGGCGGATGAAAATTTGCAGTGCCCGTACCGGACATTAGCCGTGGCTAATGCCAAGAGAAACAGTGTTTTCTTGGTGAGGTCATAAAAAGAGGATGCATAGAGGGGATCAAATGGGGGTCCTCACAAACCTCGAAGTACCACGTTCAGATCCCACGCAGGTGGGCGGAACTTGGTCTTCTGATCCTCAAGCCTGAATGAGCGTAATAAGGCCTGTAGTTCCGGGATCTTAGTAATCTTACGATTATCCGGAACGGCCAACACTGAGTTAAGCGCACCCAAGTACGTGGTTATGGTGCTACCTTTCAAGTGTCTCTGGGTACGCAAATATAGGAGGTATTCAGCTAAAAACTGAGGTGACGCAGTAGTAGGGTCTTGACCTTTTGCCTTGCAAAATGTTTCAAACGATCCCCACTTGTCATCATAAAGGCCTCTAGTAGAGGGACGATGAGCTAACATTATAGCTTTTGCTGCCCGAGCCGAATAGCCCTTTGCACTTAATGCCTTCTTAAGACGAACCAACCGTGCAGACGAAATCTGTCTGGCATTTGGTGAGGCCATTTGCTGTGAGGGCGGATGATTAGGTTGGACCACTGTGGGAGGAGTAGTGGAACATCTACTGCTAGCTTTCTGAGCTCGACGAACCACCCTCTCGCTGGCCACCAGGGGTGACCAAATTCAGAGCAAGTATTCTTGTCTCTTTGATCTTTTGTATTACCCTGGGAAGTAGAACTGGTGTCCGAAAGGCATACGCTTTTAGTCCTTCCCAAGGAATGCTGAATGTGTCCACCGCCCAGGCCTCGGACCTGGTAACTAGAGACATACGTCAAGAGTTGGTGGTTTTGGCAAGTTGCAAACAGGTCAATGTTTGGTTGCCCGAACTTCTGAAGCAATAATTGGAATGCTTGTGTGTGAAGTTTCCACTCGGTGGGTGCTACCCTGTCTGGGCGTGATAGAGCATCGGCCAGAATGTTTCGACATCCGGGGATGTGCTGAACTATGAACTATAGTTGCAGACGATCCACTAGATGGAAAAACCTGAATGTCTGTTGAAGAAGAGAGTGGGAGTGTGTTGTTCCCTGATTGCACAGGCACCACACCACAGTGCTGTTGTCTGTGGATATGGAGAGTTGGGCTGATTGTAGTTGATTCTGCCAATGGGATATGGCTAGAATTACGGCTT